AAGCGCCCCCCGCCAAGTCCTTCCAAAGCTGGGTCCATCCTTTTTTTTTTTTTTTTTTTCCCTCTCCCTGTGCATCTTGCGCAACGCATTTGTGGAGTAAATTACGTGGAGCCTCCGGGGGAGGAATCCGCATCTTTACTGCGCAGCCTGGCAATGTAAATAAACAGGCAGGGGCGGGAGGGGGTGAGGGCGGCGGAGGATGCTCCCCCGCGCAAGTGCTGAAATTTACTCGCCTTTTGTTTTACATTGTTGATTTTTTTTCCCCTGCTTTTAATTGCTTTAATTTATTTTATGCGTGCTTTGATGCTAAACATTATTTGGTGCTAATGAAAGAGTTCCAGTCCGCAGTCAAGTAATTGGAGGGAGGAAGGAGAACCTAAGGAAACAAAAAATGTATCTACTAAAGGCACGGTAGAATAGACCGGTTTTCTGCAAATTAGTTACACGAAGAAAAGAATTAAAACAAGGGTGGAAAGCCTATTTGAGCGGATTCTGTCTTTATGCTTTTACCTTCTTCAGTAATAGCCCCAGCGCCATCACAGGGGAAGGGAAACGAGACCAGCCGCGTTTCGAGAGCCCCAAATATCAATTACATCCTGGTAGATTCCCCAAATATATCGAAAAGGTACTAACATTTTGAAGGAAGTGGCTGTCCTAAAAATAGACATGAGTCTAGGGTGATAGGTCGGGGCATGTATTAATCCAAAATGGTCATTTAGTATATTTATTTTACCTGGGAAAAAACAATTCCAAAAGCCCGTGTGGTATTTTTAAGATAAAATTATAACAACGAACCCAAGGCGAGGGTAGATTATTGGAGATTTCCTTTTTATTTCGAAGAATAATAATCACAGACAAGGGGGGGGTGGAAAAAAAAAAGCAACGCGTCGCCATTAAATAATTTGCTACTTTGATATACAACATTTTACGTAGCACAATATTAATTCATCCTTTTTTTATTATTTTTTCTTTTTTCTTTTTTTCTTTTTTTTTTTGTAGAGACTTGAACAAGGAAGGAATCCAGGTAAAAATATACACGGACAAAAGAGCATAGCAAGGAGAAAAGAAACACGGGGGTTACCGGGAGAAGGCATAATAATAATTCATATTATGTACAGGACTATATACGCTAAGTATAATTTGCATTCGGACTTTCAGGTCACATTTTCTCTAAATTAAAGGTGCTAAACACGACCACGTTACTTCATACCAAAAAGTACACCGCGAAGTACAAACGGAGATTTACAAATTACTTGTACTATAGGAAGACTCACATAGAAAAATGTGTCTATTCGGACTCTAAAGCCACATTGAATAGGTAGATAGTCATTCTATTGTACAAAAAAAAAAAACTTTAATATAGGTAGTATTTTTTTTTCAGTGTCAGGAAACACAATGTATCATTCCTAGGGTTTTTAATTATTTATGCACTTATCATCTATCTATTTTAATATATAGTCTTTTCCTGTGTGTTTTTCCCCCTTTTTCTTCTTTCGTGGGTTTCCACGTTTCCTGCATCCACCTCTCGCCCCTTTCATTCCTCCTCGTCATCCTCCGCGTCCTGTTTTTCCTGGCTGTTGGAGCCGGAGCAGGCAGTTTTATTTTCCTTTTTCCACTTCATGCGCCTGTTCTGGAACCAGATTTTGATCTGTCTCTCGGTGAGACACAGGGCGTGAGCGATCTCGATGCGTCTCCTCCTCGTCAGGTAGCGGTTGTAGTGAAACTCCTTCTCCAGCTCCAGGGTCTGGTACCTGGTGTAGGTCTGTCGGCCGCGTTTTCTGTCCGTGCCTGAGAAAATAAACGCAGATTCACATCAGCTCGGGGGCTTGGGGGAGATATTTCGAGGGCTGGTGGCTTGATTCGCTCTCTTGCTTTTGCCTTTGGGTGCAGCCCAGCCAACACCCATCACTGCAGTCCCATGGGGGAACAAAATCCTGGAGGATCTGCACAACTCGGGACAGCACTTCTTTTTATTTACAAGATCAACTCCTCCTGCTCGAGGCTTTCCCCACCTCACCCTCCCTGTTCTCAGCCCCCCAAACCACCCCAGCTTTAATTTCCCTTCATCACGGAAAAGCATGCGGTGCTTTTTCTGTGTGCGTGTCTCCAAGTGAGCAACAAACTTCAGAAAGTTTCCTGCTCTCGGAGCACTGCTCAGGCTCTGAGCTCCTGCTTTAATTTTTATTTAGACACCAGAAAATTTCAGATGGTTGGGGAATAAATACAAGAAATACAGTCGAGCGAGTGAGGCATCTGCTACCTACACAAATCCAACTATTTGTCCTCTCTTAAAGCTGTCATCAGGGTGCCTGCTTGGAAGGTGTCTGATGGTCTGAATTATTTCAGGGGATGTTTTGGGCACAGCAGTGACTTCTGGAGCTGAAGAGGGGTCTGCTAGCCCTGGGCTGTGTTTGAGGGAGTGTCTGCACATGAGAAGCCCCCACCCCTTAGCCCAGGCGCCCCACCACCCTCCAGCTGCCTGCGAGTGGGGTTTGGAAAGGGCCCAGCTCCTAATTCTCCCTTCCACCCGACATTTCCTGGAGCCTGATTGGAAATAAGTCTACAATATGGTGTTTGTGATCCTGACTCTATTTTCTATGTAAATGCTGTCTGTATCTATAGTATAATGTATTCTTTCCCAGAGCAGCGGGGATGGCGAGCAGCAGCCCTCGGCCTCTCCTCCACACATTCCACCGGACTCCTCTTCTTCTCTCCCCCTTTTTTTTTCTCCCCCACCCCTCTTTCTTTTTAAAAGAAGAAAAGATCCAGTCATTAAAAGGAGAAAAAAAAAAAAAAAGAAGCAAAGTAGCCAGGCTAGCTGTAAAGTAAAAATGTGCAGGTCGTGGAATGTGGGTTGTAAAATCCGCTGAGGGGAGAGCCATAAACCGCTGCTGAATGGGGATGACAACTCTATCTCTGCTCGCTGATGAAATTCCACAAGCGCGATCGCACAGTGGGCATGAGGCACTGGGGGGGTAGGGGTGGGAGGGGGGACCCCGCTTTTACAACCGAGGTCGAGTTTCTCTGGGTTTAGGCTCATCAAATCCCAGAGTATCCAGGGTTTTCTGAGGGCTGGACCCCGCGCCTTTGCCCTGCTTCCAAACCTCTCGTGTTGATCTCGCAGCGTAACAGGCTAAAAAGGGGGTGAGTGGGGGGGCTACTTAAATCTAAAGTGGGATAAAAGCACGGATGAAGTGTTTACGACCAGAAATATTTGGTCTTTGATAAATCAACTGTAAAAGTGAATGAATTATGGAGCAGGTAATGGAAAGAACTGACCACCAAATAAGTGTGAGGGTAACTCCTGTCTTTATAAACCGCTACACATTGGCTGCTTCCCTGTTTTTCTTTTTCCTCAGCTTCGCAGGGAGGCTGGCCCATACTCCCCTCGCCCCCCAGGTTTGCTAACAAGACCCTTTCCGAATATTTGGCCGCAGAGGGAGGCTGCCTCGCAGGGATGCTCTCAAGT